ATGTTTATATGGGTCTGTCCTAGAGAACGCTTTATGTACCCCCCCTTTTTTCAATTTTATACATGAATAATAATTTTCAACATATATTTGTCTTTCATGTTATTTACGAATTAGATTTGCCGAGCGCTGCGGCTAGATTAGACTAGACTTGGATCGTTTATCGTAGATCGTCCCAAAAGCGTTCTCTGAGAAATTACCAACTTCTTGTGGGTCCGTCCTAGTATACGATTTTTAGACCCCTCCTTTCAATTTTGTACATCAGCACTTATTTTCAGCAAAATTATTATTTTTTAAAATTTATTTTAGAGATTGGTTACGACGATTTCTGGGCCGAACGCTGCGGCTAAGGCAGGCTAGGGGGCCGGGTGCTGCGGCGTCATGATCAATTACATTCATTGTGTTACATCGATATCTAGAAAATTACCCTTCTTGTTTTGATGTAGAAATTGGTAATATCCNTCGGCCCAGAAATTGTCTTAACCTAACCTAACCCTCAAATAATACAAAAATAAACAGCTGGCGTAGGTCCGATATTGCCGTAGGTCGGAAGTTCAGTAGGGGGGATGTTGCGTATAGACGATGTAACACTACCACAGGGGGCGTATTTTTCGACCTACGCAAATCCGCTATGCTTCATTTCTGACCTACGACAATTTCAAAGCCTCTATACTACACATCCGACCTACTAGCACGTGGTTTTACAGCTGCTAAATGCTCTTGTGGCCGCAGCGCCCGGCTCCCTAGCCTCGGCGCTCGGCCCCCTAAAAGCCTGCACCTCGGCAGCGCTCGTCCCAGAAATTGGCTTAACTTAACCCAATCCTCAAATATAACAAAAATAAACTGCAGCTGGCGTAGGTCCAATGTTGCAGTAGGCCGGAAAGTTAGTTAATGTTTTTCTACTATAATTCAGTTTTTAAATTTTTTTTATAATTATGAAGTTAGGGAGCATACAATTAATTAGATAACATACACAGAAATGTTTCAAATGACCATAAAAATTAGTTGAAATTAACAAAAAAAATAGTTCAAATGAACATAAAAATAGGGTAAAATGGTACTTAACGGCTACACACAGACACAACTTGGGGACGTTGACTAGAGTGGGGGGTTGACTCCGGGAGGAAGTCATGTATATAACGGAGACTTAATTAATACTTATAGCGAAAACACAAAAGACCTGTTAACGCAATGTGTGGAGTTCCAAGAAATCTTCTACAATCCTACATAAATTAATTCCTCTTCAAAGAAAGAATACCCACTGGAGTTGATTTAAGCTTCTCCAAGCAATTTGTGATTTAATGAAAGATACATGTATCTCTCTGAAGTCCTGAGTAGTCTCCTGAGAGTATTCCTCTTTGTTAGTCCACTGTAGTCCCGATTCAAGGACTATATGTATAATACTAGAGTGGGAACCCAGGGCTGTCAAGGTTACTAAAAGTTACTCCCGGCGCCATTTACCCGCACTTGAACGATTTTACCGGGAAATTAAATTTTCGCTATTGATGTCGACTTCGTCGACCCACTCTCCTTAGAATCCCCAAACCAAATTAAGAACATTCCCGTGGTTCTCCTAAGTTCCCCAATCAAAATTTGAGACAAATCTGCCAAGGGGTTCCCGAGTTATGATCGGGCAAATAAACAGACAAACAGATTACAACTTAATATATATACATAATGTATCCCTCGTTCTGTATTACTCACTGAAGTCCTAGGAGTAGTCTCTTGAAGACTATCATTAGTCCTCCGTCTCCCTTAATTCTCTCCTAGCGTAATTTCACCTGACCTTCATGGGGGTTTCGAGAAGACATGCAAAACACTTGCATAATGCATATGTGCTAAAATTGATTTTAGATAAAAGGGAAATACTGCCCCCACTGTGTACGCGCCTGAATAGGCCCATACAAACGATTGATTTTCAGTGGAATTAAGAATTAGAACCAGACCCGTTGCTAGAAATTTAGAATGGGGGGGGGGGGGCACAAAGTTTTTTCTTTACCTTAAAACCTCAGAAAATGCCAATGGACTAAAATAATCAATTTTTACTGTAAATATATATAAATATTACAAGCGTACACAGGAATTTCTTGTCCAGGGGGTCTTCATTAATTTTTTTTTACTGAGGGGATCCAGGGGGGGCTGCGGTTTACAGGATCCCGGTACATATCCGCTATCCCAAGTAAAAGCCTAAAATACAAACTATAACCAACATTTTATTAAACACTAGCTTAAGGGCCCGGCGTTGCCCGTGGAAAAAAAGTTTAAAAGATGTTGAAATTTTTTTTTTTAGTCTATAAAAAAAGAGAAAATTCAAGTTCCAGCATTATAAACAAACAATTTCCCGCATTTCTGGTTAAATCTATATGTGAAAACAAAATAATATTAATATTTTGATTTCTTAATTCTGTATCTGCTTTTTTCGTTAAAAGAACAGTATGTTTATATTTAACCTTATCAAAAATTCTTGTTTTGTACGTAACTGGGAAAAGGCTTAAACAATTGATATGAGTAGGAGTTCCGAGGAATTGTCTCAAAATCAGGATATGATACAAAACGCAACATGAGCTGAAATGTGATACTGGTAATTGTTGTTTCAAAATAGAATATGTTGAAAGGGAAAAAGTAAATGATATATGAATACATAGCAAGAGTCTTTTGTAATGAAGTAATACATATTTAAGATCAAATGCCGCGGAAAAATGAGTTTAATATTAATATATTATTTCAGGGCTATTAATTTACCTTGAATTAAAAATAAAAAGAAGTTATCAGTAAACGTATGACGGGTCTATTATTCATGTATCTGGGATTCACTGTAGTCATAAATTATGTGATTCACATTACTTGTACGCCGTTCAAACCTGAAATGCAATAAGGCAGATGAAAAATTAAGCCGGTTCATTCATATTTCTAAATTTATACAAAAAAAATTAAGGATTAATCATTAGTTAAGGAATTATAGTTAAACCTCGTTAAGGATTTTCTAAAAAATACTTTTTAATCCATCGACCCCCCCCTCACATATCATTTTAAAAACAAAAAATAAATAATCGTCNCAAAGGCTTCCAAGTGCTCACATCATGATCCGAGTCAGTTTCCTTTTTTTCACCCGACAACCATTTAAAAAAAAAGTTGTTTTGATTATTTTCTTACGATTTTTCACATTTTTATTATTTATTTTGGTGGTTATTATATCGTTAAAACTGAAGAGGATCAACCCAGACCGATATATTTTTTGGAACAAACATCTCAATATTAACATTAAATTGACCTCTCCCTGGTTAAAGATTACCAGGAAAAAGGGTCAGAGTTTTCAGTAAAATTAAGAGCTCTTCCTTTAAGTTAATCTCATTTAGCTTAAATAACAATTTATTCAGATTTCAACGGAAAGTATCGCCTTTCCGCTTTTCTTATCACATTAATTTCTTCTCCCCCGAATAATGCCGTTATCACACTGAGTTGAGTCAAGCTTTCTTTGGGATCTTGTAAAAATCCAGCACAGCCGTGTCGTCTGTTCAGTCGTGGCCGAAATGTAACCCTGTCGACGATGTTAAAAACTTTGTGTAGAACTTGATCAAGAATTGGAGTATGTTAGAGGAGAGTGTTGGATCGTTCTTGTAATTTCTCCGCTAACTCAGTTCTCTTAAACCTGAAAAAACAGGATTAAATAAATTTATCAAAATAAACCCCGTAAATCACAGCAAAATATTTTAGTCAAATTTTGTACCCCCCCCCCCTTCCCTCGTTCCCAGACATTGCTCTTATCTTACTTTTTAAAATATTTCACAACTAAGATAATAGATAATTTTATTAGAGCTTAAAGGCTTAACAAAACCTAATTTTGCTAGCTTACAACGAAAAAACTATTTTCCCTGTAAAGTAATCTACTTAACACCAGATATTTATTTCTAAAAATAAAGTCGATCAGTACATTAGATCATATTTAGCCTCTCTGTGGTACATAAAGGTGAACTATTTTTACAAAAAATATTGATATAAATATTAATAAAACTCTTGAAAACACTTTTGTTTGATTCATTTAACATAAAAAGAATCTTTTTGTAGAATATTAAAATCTTAAAGAAAAGAGACTGTCAACGATATTTTAAGTAAAACCTTTTAAATTAATGTTGTATACACGATTCACATCGATACAATGAGAAAAACGTGTTGAATTCTGTCAATTTACTTCTTTGTCTCTGCTACATAAATACCCAGGTCATGTTTATATTTAAATAACGAAATTTTAAATTTTCCGATAAACATAATAAGACAAAGGTTTTAAGGGTACCATTGTGAATTAGACATGCAATACTTCAAATAAAGGCTTAATTGAAAATACGTAAACAGTCTCTTTAATGAAATAAAAAACCGAGTAGCACTTCAGTCATTAAAGTAAAAAATAAGGGTTTTAAGGTTTTCTCTCTCTTCGGATGGGGGGAGGGGTTATTGATGAAAAATTACCTGACTGCCTCCTGCTTAACTTCAAGAATAAACTGTTTTCTAATCCAGGGAGGACCGTAGAGACCTTCCAACATCTTCCAGAGGACATTGTGACACTTCCCCGGCCTCTTCACCTCCTTATAGATCAACTGTCTCACGTTGTTGTTACGGAGTTTAATGCTACGGAGTTCTTCCTCCGTCGGTTCATCCTCCAGAGTTGGAGCAGGCTTCGGAGATTCAGGAATATCAACAACAGGGATGTTTATCTTCTCCTTGATCTTCATTCCGACCCTCTCCTCGACACTCTTCACCGTCTTCAGTTCGGGCAGTTCCTTGTGGAAGGACTGGAAGATGTCGGGTTGTTGTTTCCTGTAAACGGAAACATGCTCAACCTGTCCGTTGGAGTGCCAGGCTTTCAGTATAGGATCCTGAACCAGGTCCAGGTTGGAGAGGATTGGATCCAACACAGGTTTAGAAGTTTCATTTCTTGTCAATTCATGTTTATTGTTATTCTTACTGATATGGTTACTAGCAGGTTCAGGGGAGACGTGAAGAGAAGGGGGTTCTAGTTCAACTAAGGGTTTTACTTCTTCTATAATAGTTAAACTGTCTTCAACTTTATCCTCCTCATCTTTGAAGAAGTAAGCCATTTTACCAGCAGGATAATTTGACTTGATTCCGTTCAGGACTGGAGCAGGAGGAAGGGGAAGGAGAGGAACTGATACAGGAGCTGAGTAGGGTTCAATATAAGGAACATGAGAAGGTTCGTCTGGAACAGGAGATAAGTACTGTGGAGAATGAACAGGACTGGACGCAGGACTCGAGAATTGAAAGTCTTTTGCCAGCGGTCCCTTCCGCCGCTTAGGCGGAGCACTGAGAACCTGCTCCGCTGGTCTTTTTAATCCTCGCTGCTGTAAGCTTTGTGGTGTACCTGGAGTTACAATCTGAACCTCGTCCACTCCTCCCAACCCGGATACTTCGTCCGTCATCATCATTAAGTTCTTATTTGTTTTGAACGGATTACCGAACATATGCTGTCGAACTGGGGCGCATTCAAGTTCACGCAAAGGCATTGGTTGTTTCTTCAGATAATCTTGATAGTTGCCCATTTGACCGATTGGTAAAGAATGCCGCGTATCCTCATCAATGAGCTGGCTGACACCACCTCGACCACACAGAAGATTTGCTCGCATTCTCACAACCTGCAAAATGGAGCAATAATAAATTTCAAAAATCGTCCAACAGCAGACGACTGCATGGGCCTAACCGATAAGGTTAAAGGATAAGCATACTATCTTATGTTACCCATTAATCAAATATAAGCTTTTTAATACAAGTAGCGTCTCAGGTAGTGCGGGTTGGCCGACAGTAATATGCATCAAACAAAATATTAATAAGTACTGATTTATTACAGAAATAAGATCATTAAGTTCTATCAATTTTAAAATCAAGAATTATTTTTAAATAACTAATATTCTGAGAATAATTTACCTGATCTAAAAGTGATGTTCGAGGGATATCAAACGGGTTGCGGAGCGGATGGGTTTCTGTCGCTGATTTCTCCGGAAGTCCGAGCATATATCCGGGAAAATCAGTCAGCTGATCCCGTAAAAATGCGGGAGTTTCTCGAACAGCAGTGTTCTCAAGTAGTTCTCGTTTTAGAGGAGATCTAGCTATCACTTTAATCCCGTCCGGACCAAACTTTCCCTTGTACGGCGTCATAGATACTATTCTGTCGTACTCCTGCTTGGCCTGGTTCTTTAACCTCTTGAGGTAGTTGAGTACACTGTAGCTGAGGCTATTGTCCAGGTTTTCAGGTATAAGAGAGGTGGCCAGGGTTCCAGCTCCCATACGTGTTAAAGCTCGTCGTAGAGGACCTTAATATAACATTTATTTGACAAACTTTAAAAATAATTAATTTTCAAAAGGATATTAATGCATGGAAAATAATAGTAACCATAATACTGAATCATTTAATTTAGTTATTATTTAAAATATTAAATATCTTTCAATTTAATCCCAATTTAGTTTTGCATTTTCAGTTTGCCATACAATCCTTACATAGGAATGCTGTTTTAATATTGAATCAGTGTTTACTTTGTAATATTATTATAATCTATTTTCAACTTAAGAATTTATAATATTAAACATTCTAAAAGCGATAACAATAAAGATTTAAAAAATTTAAGAAAAAAAGATCTTAATTTTAAAAATAGAAGATGGAGGCGTTGTAATAAAATTTTATTAATATCAATTCTGCAGGTTTAGAAGAAGAAAAAATTTACATTTTTGAAAAAAATATTTGAATAATTCAAGGTATGTTGTGCTTCAAATAATTGTTAAAGTCTAAATAAATCCTGCGTCACTACCAGACGCAATAATCCTTCAGATGATAAAAGCTCAACTTCATATCAGAAATATCCTCAATTTAATCAAATATTTGGTCAAATAAAAATAAATCCTGCGTCACTACCAGACGCAATAATCCTTCAGATGATAAAAGCTCAACTTCATATCAGAAATATCCTCAATTTAATCAAATATTTGGTCAAATAAAAATAAATCGTTTATAAACATATATTGGATTGGAAGGAAATTGAAAATATAAAATATTCGGTTTATGCATTCATTTTGCATAGTGAACGCAGAAGCTTCATAATATACCTTTTGTCTGACGAACATGTATGTGCATTGTACGTACAGGGCAAAGTGTACAAAAGGTTATAAGGACTGTCGTAATTTTCATTTCCATTTAAAGAGAGACATGCTCGATTCAAAACGATACCCTTTAAACCTTTATCTGATAAATAAGGTGGAAGAAATCGTCGTTTTTGAAATAAAAATTGTTTCACCTAATGTTGCTTTTACAGACAAGAGTACCATAAGTCACGAACTTTAAATTACCAGTTGATTTTTAAAAAATTGTTGTGAAAATTATGCAAGCCATGGTAAAAACTGAAGGTTTTGATTAATTCCTCCGGATACCTGCATAATAGGACGGCATTGTGCGAAGGTAATTATGGAACTGTGTTCTCCATTCATTACTGGGTTTCAGTCTATGTAGCTTAAAGAGATCATCTAATAGAGGAAGCAGCATAGGGTAGTTGTACGGTAGGACAAACAGGTTTACTGTCAGCAGGTTCGTACTGGCCTAGGTTTAACATTACATATAATAAATTACATCTAGTTTATGAACAGAATAGAATTCAGAGGTTAGAATAAAAGTCGAAAGATAATATATGGTTTAAAAGATATAATATGGTTCACAAGATATAATATGGTTCACAAGATATAATATGGGTCAAAAGATATAATATGATTCAAAAGATATATGGTTGAAAAAATTTATTATGGTTGAAAAAATTTAATATGGTTCAAAAGATACATGGTTCTAAAAAAATGGATGAAAAGATTTAATATGGTTCAAAGGATAAAATAGGAATCCAAGGATAAAATAGGAATCAAAGGATAGAATAGGGATCAAATGATAGAATAGGAATCAAAGGATAGAAAAGGGTTCAAAGGATAGAAAAGGGTTCAAAGGATAGAAAAGGGTTCAAAGGATAGAATAGGGTTCAAAGGATAGAGTATTAAGGATAGAAAAGGGTTCAAAGGATAGAATAGGGTTCAAGGGTTAAAATAGGGTCCAAAGGATAAAATAGGGTCCAAAGGATAAAATAGGATCCAAAGGATAAAATAAGGTTCAAAGAATAAAATAGGGTTCAAAGGATGGAATAGGGTTTAAAGAATAGAATACGGTGCAAAGGATAGAATCGAGTTCAAAGGATATGATAGGGTGCAAAGGATACAATAGGGTTCAAAGGATAGGATATTGAGCAATATATATCTAAACAGGGTTCAAAGGATATAATAGAGTTCAAGGGATAGAATAGGAATCTAAGGATAGAATAGGATTAAAGGGATAGAATAGGAATCTAAGGATATAATAGGAATCTAAGGATAGAATAGGATTCAAGGGATAGAATAGGAATCTAAGGATATAATAGGAATCAAAGGATATAATAGGAATCAAAGGATAGAATAGGATTCAAGGGATAGAATAGGATTCAAGGGATAGAATAGGATTCAAGGGATATAATAGGAATCAAAGGATAGAATAGGATTCAAGGGATAGAATAGGAATCTAAGGATATAATAGGAATAAAAGGATAGAATAGGGTTAAAATGATAGAAAATGATTCAAAGGCACAATAAATTAACTAAAACTAAGTCCACTTCTAACAGTAACAAGTAAACCTTTCTGACTGGAGTCAAGAAAATGTAGGGGCTATAAATCAGATCTATTTCATTTAATGCGAATCCGAATCCAGGAACTTGATTAACTATTCAGAGATAAGGCGATCTCATTGTTCACCAGTTCACCAGTGGGGTTTGAGAGCAAACTTTTTTTTCTCAGTTTTTGGTTGACACTTAATCCCTGGAATCTACATATTTATACGGATCCGGATCCAGGAAGTTGCGGATCCAACGGATCCGGATCCTAAAGTGAACTCGACTAGAGTACATCGATCAAATGGATCAAGTCAAGATTAGAAAGAATGATAATCTGGATTGAAAATTAGAATAAGACTCTCATAGATGTAAACAATAATATAATGAACCGTAGATAATGATGTTCAATTAGATGAGAACAATCGAGAGGAAAGAAATAGCAGTTCTAAATAACAATTGTTTCATCTTCATTGATGTTAAGTGTTTTAAGACCGAAAATTAATCGTACCAACAGAAAAATGAAAAGAAACAGATTATTAGTTTTATTTTGCTCTAGTTAATTAGGGTGCGCAGTGCTTATTTTAATGTGATAATTTAAAAATATTTTAGTCAAACTTTTAAAATAAAAAAAAATCCTTAGAAATTCGACCCAGAAGATAAATACACTAATGTGAGCAAGTAATTAATTTGTAACAAATGATTTGGAAACTCTCCGAAGGAGGGGGGGGGGGGGTGCACGAAAATTTAGCATTACTTTAATATAACAGAACATGGAGAACTAACTAAAACATTTAAATTAAGGAAACATCTATAAATATTGATATTACCTTGAGATAACCGAATGGGTGTCCTGTATCTCCATGTTTCGTTGAACCCTGGATAAAAACCTGCCAGCAGAAGTTTGGTTGCTTCCTCCCAAGGATAAAGAGCGTGAGAGGACTAGGCTCCAACTCGTATTTATCAAAAGGAAGATTATCAATGATCATTGGTTCCTGGTTGCTACAGGTAAACTTAAGTGTAGGATGGGCAGCCCGGCCCGGGATGGTACTAGAGTTCACGTCAGGCCAGAAGGACTCCGGCAGGGGCCAGAACCCGACCGCAAACCCTTTCTGAGCGGAGCGCTGGACGTAGATTAACTTCCGGCAGGAGTGCCAGGAGGTATTCGAGGAAATCACAGGGTTCGGAGTATGGGGTCGGGAGCCGGGGCCGGACTCGCGAAATATCGTCGATTTGATAATTTCTATTTCAGGTTTTATCTCACATTCGACGACATCTTCATCCCCTAAGAGAGGTGGGTCACTTCCCGTCTTCTCGAAGTGAATGACAACACCAGACTGCAGCTTCTGGACTAGACTCTCGATACACTAAACAAAAAAATATTAGACTCTTCATACACTAAACAAAGAGGTATTAGACTCTTCATACACTAAACAAAGAGATATTAGACTCTCAAGAAACAAAGAGGTATGAGACTCTTCATACACTAACCAAAGAGGTATAAGACTCAATTCACTTATCAAAGAGACATTAAACTTTCAAGTCTCAATACACTAAACAAAGAGATATTAGACTCTTAATACACTAACCAAAGAGGTATTAGTCTCTCAATACACTACACAACGAGGTATTCGACTCTTAGTTAATACACTAAACAAAGAGATATTAAAGTAGGAGATATTAAAGTAGGAGGTATTTATATCAATCAATACACCAAAAAACACTTTCTAGCTCAACTCTCAATTAACAAAAAAAAAAAAAATGATGAAACAAAAATTCAGGAAACAAAGAGATATTACACTTTTAATAAACAAAACAAATTGATATTAATCTTTCAATATTCTACACGATCATAATCTTTCAATATTCTACAGGATCATAATCTTTCAATATTCTACAGGATCATAATCTTTCAATATTCTACAGGATCATAATCTTTCAATATTCTACAGGATCATAATCTTTCAATATTCTACAGGATAATAATCTTTCAATAAACGCATGAGAAAATAAATCTTTCGCTTCACTTCACAATGAGATTCATATCCAAAAGAACAAGTGTTGAACATCAAAAATATGGTGATAACATAAAATACATCGAACGAAGAGAAAGCGATACCAGATTCCATGAACAAACAAAAAATAGTAATTTGCAAAAAATGTAAAAAACACTAAATATCAATCAGGGACAATTCTTATATTATATTTATTTTAGTTCTGAAGTCTAATACAGTCATGATAAAATAAGTTTAAATAAAAATCGAAACTGTGTCGAAGTGATAAGCATTTAATATTCTTTGTTCTGAAATTTTTCTTCTTAAAACTTTGTATTGAGCAGATAGCTTTGCAACAATAAACGACTTAATACATCTAAATATGACAGTTTCTTGATTGCCCGCCTAATAAAAATATTCGTGGACTATCTTAATATATTTAGAAAGGGAGGTGGGGGGGGGGCGTTATCATGATATTTGTGTAAAAAATCCCCTATTTTAGTTGAAATACCTGATGGAGAACACGATGAGAAGTTACTGCGTAACTGCGTCCCCCAGTCACCTCACACATTGCGTCCACAGGACTAGTATCTGACGCAACATGACCGGATTCACCGGCCGATCCGGACATAGGTGGATGACCCGCCATGCGTAGAACGAGTGCGTACAGTCTTTGGTCCCATCTGAAAGGTTCTCTTGTAAGCTCAGCTCCGGGTACTCCAGACATACCGCCCATACCGGCTCCGCCCATTGGCAGGTTCAATTCTCTTTGCACCGTACTGGCGGTTGTCAGTTTACCGCCGTCTGTGACAACCACTATCACCGCCGGTTCAAGGTAGTAAGGATACCTACCTTGACCGTACATATCAATACCGGACTGCATTCTGTTTATGTTCAAAGTATCGAACACGGCTTTCAGGGCGGAACCGAGAGTCGTCATGCCGGAGGCTTCAAGGTTCTTCAGTTCCGCCATGAAGGTCGTTAAGTTTTCCTTCCAGCCCGCCTTTATATTTCGAGGGAACTCGTCAAAGGTTAGAAGCATGTAACGATCTCCTCGACTTTCCGTCGATTTTTGTCTTTGTTTCACGAAAACCTCTACGGCCTCTTTCGACACGTCGAGTAAGGTTTTTCTCCCGTTGACGTAGGCGCGCTGGTTCATACTGGCGCTCGTGTCAACTAGGAACACGATAATGGTCATGATGAACCTGGATCAATATCAGGGTTGGTTAATAGTATACAGACCATTCACAGTCATTATAAAGATGGATCACTTTTAGACTTTTTCTTCATTTTTGCTTCTTTTTGCCTTGTCATTGGGTTTCTTGGAAGGTTGGGCTACTGCCCTTTCAGCTCCAAAGGCTTCCAAGTGCTCCTTCTGAAAATTAAGATAACAAATAATTATTCAAGCATAATTTTCTAATTTAAAATAAATATTAACAATTTTATTTTAGATAATTGTGCTAATTTTAGGCATCCTCTAAAAAAAGCAACTCTAACAAACCTCCCAAAAATATAAAATTTAGCAAACCCCATTATGTTTGCTTAATTGACCACTGAAAAAAAGATTTTTTTCTGGAATTACAGTGATAACTAGAAAATTAGGAAGACGACTTTTAGAATCAAGTTAAAACTTTAAATCTCATGAGCATTGAGACACAGTTCAATTGGGCAGTGTAAAGAAATCCGATTCACTAATTTAGTTATTCAACAAGTGTCTAGTAAGACTATTTCCTTTGTAACAATATCAGATACACTTAAATATTGCTAAAATGTAGTCTTACTATTCCAATGTTTTCTGGTTACCCTGGTGACTGTATATTTGCAATCACTTTCTAGACCGTATTTACCAGTTTCGGATTGTTTCTTGCGACTACTCTCACATCCTCACTATTGATAGTTGACCGTTTAGCGTGCCCAGAGAACGTTTCAAGATCCAGAGCAGTCCTTTTAATTTTCTCCAGAACCAACTCCGAAGCAAGGGCAATGGTTTCCTTATCCACCTGATCTGAACCGCTCACTTCACTGAAGATGTCGAACACGGTCAAATCAACTGCAGCTTTCAATCTCTTAATGAAAATAAATAAATACAACAAATAAAAACCTGTCATTGTTAAGTTTTGAAAATGTACGTGGAATTGAAGAGTAAGGATGAGTAGGATAAAATTTGAATTTGGCGGGGATAAAACTGTGTAGTGCGCATGTCAGGAAATTTTGTTGTGGCCTACCCACACCGTCCATTACGTTTGAAACCTTTTGTTCATATATCACTGATATACTTGTAATAACTATTAATAAACTATACCTTTTTATTTGACAGATGGATAGATCAGATATTCATGGATAGGTTTGGATAGTTTTGGGGTTTTTTAAGGTCCCCTGACTTAAGATTTTCACCTGAAAACGTTCAGTTTTGCGGAGCTCTGTCTCCGTACCGTCACAGGGCATTCTAGTACACGCAGTAGGCTCAGATGGCAGCACAAGCAGCCATGATCCCGCACCCTACACCGGTGCCCCGAAATTTTTTAAACACTAAAATTTTTTATTTTCAAAATCTTTTGCAAAAATAAATAAAACAATAGTGAAATTAATATTCTACACTTCATATTTTTTTTTATTAATTTTCTTAAATAAATTTCGGGGCCTTACATTGTAAATCTAAGTCAAATACAAAAAAAAATTATTTAAAGCTTAAAAATAAAAAAATAAAAATTTTATCAGAAGATGAAATTTAAACATATTAGGCTATCCCAAAGTAATTTTCAAATTTGGATAAATAATATAAGATTTTACGGACTTGAGTTTGACTCTTAATATCCTGGAAAGGTATATTAAATAACCTTCACATTTTTAAAAATCAGTTATAAGTTGTATGATTTCATAATGGTCTTTTAAACTAGTATTTAAAAATAAAAAACTAATAAATTTGAGAATATAATCTCCCCTGCAGTTTCGAAAATAGAGGTAGGAATGGACACCTCTCTTCTCTACTTAGTTGAGACTCCAACGAGTGTACGGTAGTTACAAGATACGCTAGGTGTCCATGTGAAAAGTTAAATCTCCCGCATTTCTGTTATTTTCACAGAAAATCCGCAATATTTTTCTTGAATTCACATGAATTTGATAAAATATATTTCGAAATTCCACTTGATTGATTCTCGGCATGAATTAAGTAATTCGGTGAATGAACATTACAGGAAATGTGTATTAGCTATTATGTATATGTTTGTATATATTTATATATCTTATAATGCAATTTGTACTTTGAAAATTGTACAGTTTAATGCATGTATGTACACAAGCCGATCCAGTTTGCACTTTGATTAAAGGTATATCCTAGTATCAGGGACGTATACAGGAATTTTTCCAAGAGGTGTGAGCTTCGTTTTTTCATTCTGGAAGGGGGCCTGAACTTTGCCCCCCCCCCCACAAAAAAAATAAAATCAATGTTTTCACTCTGCCTTATGCATATTAATTATTACCTTATCCAGCTAGAGAAACGACTCAGGAAGTGTACTTTCAATTTTATTTCTATAATCTGATTATTCCAACTAATATAAATATATCAGATCACAGTGATTTTTTAATTTTGTATTTTTGTACTTAGTCTGGTCATAGTCAGAAATACTTTACATAATTGTGTTTTTATATATTTTATAATGTTGTCTCAATTTCAGCTCATAAACATTTCTTAACCTTATATAACCTTTGCTAGAGCATTTATTGGTTCTCATCTATATACCAGTCTTTATATAATGGTTCCTTCAGATTTAATCTTATGGTTTCTGTAACCTTGAACTAATGGTTCTGTATACTTGACCTAATGGTTCATGTACACTTGAACTATTGGTTCCTGTATACTTGATCTAATGGTTCCTGTATACTTGAACTAATGGTTCCTGTATACTTGAACTAATGCTTCCTGTATACTTGAACTAATGGTTCCTGTATACTTGAACTATTTAATGGTTCCTGTATACTTGAACTAATGGTTCCTGTATACTTGAACTAATGGTTCCTGTTTACTTGAACTATTGGTTCCTGTATACTTGAACTAATGGTTCCTCTATACTTGAACCAAAGGTTCCTGTTTATTGAACTAATGGTTCCTTTAAACTTGATCTATTGGTTCTTGTATACTCGAACTAAGGTTCTAATTTAGGATTCGTTTTTATTATGTTCAATTTATAGCTTCTCATTCCTTCATGTTAGTCTAGAAGTCTCAATAACACTGAAATCTTTCGGCAGTTCTTTTTTCCCCTCTTAAATCGTTGCAGATAGTCTATATGAACCTTGATATTTGGCACCATGTTGTTTTTGTGAGCTCGTTAATTAAAAACAACTTTAGATTTGGGGTTTTCATTTTGTAATAGAGCACTCTAGTCCACGTCAAACTAAAGTAGATTTTGTAATAGAGCACTCTAACCCACGTCAAACTAAAGTAGATTTTGTAATAGAGCACTCTAACCCACGTCAAACTAAAGTAGATTTTGTAATAGAGCACTCTAGTCCACGTCGAACTAAAGTAGATTTTGTAATAGAGAACACTAGTCTACTGTCCACGTCAAACTAAAGTAGATTTTGTAATAGAGCACTCTAGTCTACTGTTCACTTCAAACTGAAGTAGATTTCACGTAAGATTAATCATAACCCCATTTATTGAAGAGCTAATGATATTGGGAAGAACAAAATGTTTTGAATTTCTAAAAAACCGCATAAATTTTCTTTTAAAGTAATAATGCATAAAATGAAAGCTAGAGGAGCTACGAGGTCTAAAAGTTGTACCTGTATAATTGTATAACTTTGACCTTCTACTGTTTTCGTATTACTGTTCTTTTTGAATATATATTTCGATGTTTTTGGATTTTCTGAAATCTGTTGAACGAAATAACAAGTATAAAGATTGCTCAGTATTTGAATATAAACAAGTCTTATGTTTATTTGATTTAAAGTCATCAGACCTGGATATTTTATCTTGTGCCAGTCATATGATCTGTGTTTTTTATTTTCTACAAGACGGGGATTGTTAAGTTTCTACAAGTCATCAGACATGGATATTTTATCTTCTACAAGTCATCAGACCCGGATATTTTATCTTCTGCTAGTCATCAGACCTGGATATTTTATCTTCTACAAGTCATCAGACCCGGATATTTTATCTTCTACAAGTCATCAGACCCGGATATTTTATCTTCTACAAGTCATCAAACCTGGATATTTTAGTTTCTACAAGTCATCAAACCTGTATATTTTATCTTCTACAAGTCATCAGACCCAGATATTTTATCTTCTACAAGTCATCACACCCGGATATTTTATCTTCTAGAATTCATCAGACCCGGATATTTTATCTTCTACAAGTCATCAAACTTGGATATTTTAGTTTCTACAAGTCATCAGACCCGGATATTTTATCTTCTGCTAGTGATCAGACCAGAGATGGGAACTTTTGAATGGGATATCCTTAATCCTGATCGGATAATTAATCTGGAGATTAAAAATGAGTGGAGAACAAGCAATATTTAATCTGCAGATTAAGAAAAAGAGTGGATTAAGCCTTAATCCCGATATCCACCATTTTAAAGTTTTCAGCTCTGGATATTTTATCTTATGCTAGTCATCAGACCTGGATATTTTATCTTCTACATGTCATCAGACCCGGATATTTTATCTTCTGCTAGTCATCAGACCTGGATATTTTAGTTTCTAAACGTCATCAGACCCGGATATTTTATCTTCTGCTAATCATCAGACCTGGATATTTTAGTTTCTACAAGTCATCAGACCTAGATATTTTAGTTTCTACAAGTTATCAGACCTGGATATTTTAGTTTCTACAAGTCATCAGACCTGGATATTTTAGTTTCTACATGTCATCAGACCTAGATATTTTAGTTTCTACAAGTTATCAGACCCGGATATTTTAGTTTCTACAAGTCATTAGACTGGGATATTTTAGTTTCTACAAGTCATTAGACTGGGATATTTTAGTTTCTACAAGTCATCAGACCTGGATATTTTAGTTTCTACAAGTCGTCAGACCTGGATATTTTAGTTTCTACATGATCAGACCTAGATATTTTAGTTTCTACAAGTTATCAGATCTGGATATTTTAGTTTCTACATGTCATCAGACCTAGATATTTTAGTTTCTACAAGTCATTAGACTGGGTTATTTTAGTTTCTACATGTCATCAGACCTGGATATTTTAATTTCTACAAGTCATCAGACCTGGATATTTTAGTTTCTACAAGTCATCAGACCCAGATATTTTAGTTTCTACATGTCATCAGACCTAGATATTTTAGTTTCTACATGTCATCAGACCTGGATATTTTAGTTGCTACAAGTCATTAGACTGGGATATTTGAACAGGCAAATAACCAGGGGCATACTCAGGAATTTGTCCAGGGGGGGCTTGAAATGAACTAAATACTAAGATTATATAGTTGCTGCAGCAAATTGTAAATGAAACTTTGCTACCTTTCCTTAACTCTATCTGATTGGTATATACATTTTATTATAAACCGTTATTATATTTACTGTTTATATTCAAGTATTGTTCAATGGTTAATTTATCATATATATTTCCGTCTTTATTTCACGCGTTGAATTCGGTCATACAAATTTAAGGAGATTAAATACTTAGAAATATTGAATAAGGAATTTAAGTATTTAAATTTTCCCACAATAAAATTCTTGATTTAACCCCAAATAATAATTGAATTTTAATTTTTCAAGTTTGTTATGATGATAAATACTTTATTTTAGCTTTAAAAAATAGCCGGGGGTGGGGGTCAAAGAGATCTGCTTTGAATTTAAAAATGCTTCGAATTATTTTCACTAAACAAATCCAAAAAAAATTTGTCTTTTTATTTGATCGAGGAAAAATATTTTAAATCCTGACTTTGTTTGAAATTCTCGTCAAACTAAAATAAATAAATGAATTCTTTAAGTTTCAGAATGTGTTAAGTTTTAGAATGGGATTCTCCAGTTCCCTTCAGGGCGAGACAGCGCACGAAGCGCTTCTCGCACGCCAAGACGCCGAGCTCCGGCTATTGGAGAACATGAAGCGTTGTTTGGCCCTAAGGATTAAATGTGATCGCGAATATGCGATTTCACTCAACACCGCGATTCTACAGGTAAGGTTAAATCGTTAAAGGAAAGAGTGCGATTAAATTCTTAAAGGTTTTGTAGTGTCTAGACTTAATCATGTCAAATTAACGGAAACACCCGATGATATTTTTTATTCATTGAACTACAGTTAACATTCATAGTTTGCAGTGTTGCTTTGTGAATAATTTAGTGTTCAGGCCTTCAGAGTAATTTGTAACGGGGTGACATACAATTTTTTATTTTTTTTTATTTTTAAATCTAAAGAAAACCTTGAAATCAAAAAATTTAATGATAAAATTCTTATTTTTTTTCGGATAAAAACCATCTAGGGGCCCCCCTCCAAATTGGACAGGGCATGACTCTCCCCTTTATGAAAATATATAAAATTATTATTCCAATCAATGCATAATAATATTCTTACTATAATTTCTGTGGCTGTGGTTAGGACTAATGAATATATGCAGGATGAGTGTAAATGAATACTGAATTGTAAACCACTATACGCTTCGAGTATCAAGGTTTAAATAAAGTAATGAAACAATTTTTGATTTTATGTTTTGAGAAATGATTTATGCAATCAAATTTATTTGTTTGTTCATTAAAGCAAACTACTTTGTACATGATAATACCCATTAGGTGTACTGTACACACTTCAGCAACCTTGAAATATACAGTACATAAACTGCATTAACAGTTAAAACTTTATATGTACAGTACACAAATTTATGTACAGAGTTACCCACTAAGGATGCGACTTCAGAGACGACTGTGCGGCATTTGTTTAGTCTGTTTTCTTGCATTTGGGGTTCCTTGCAGGCCAAAACTGGCATATTTCTGTGCTTTATCACTTATTAAACCATCAAAATACTTAATTGAATGCAGAAACTAAAAATCAGGCTTCAAATTATATTTTTTAAGTTTTGGGTCGTCTTTACAGTCTCATTCTTTGTGGGTAACCCCGTATATTAGTAAGATTAAATCTAATTGCTATTTAATGGTATTCTATTTGCTGATTAGGTTTCTTGAGTTTTTAGCCCGAGGATTTTTAGGATTTTTTCACTGAATTGGGCAGACAAATCATGTTTCTTTAAATTAACAATGCCTAAAATGGAACGGTAAAATATTAATTATCCTTATTGCACTGGTTACAACTGGTTCTTATTGCAGGCGCAGAAGATGGACAAGGTTGAGATGGCTGGGAGCCTGGTGGCTCAGAGTTGGAGCATATTCATCGACGAGACGGAGAAGCTGGTGAAGGTGGTTAAGGAGAACGCAGATCAGATGGCCTCGAAGACCTTGGAGACCCTCGGGACGTTATTCGTTGAGAAGAGGATGAACAGGAAGATGTATTCAGAGGAGCATACAAGGATATGTAATGATCTTCATAAACTTCAGGTAGGACAGGGTATTGGTGCTTCAAAAGAGGGGCGATCAAAAGTTTACCCCCCCCCCCCATCTACGAGTCTTTTTAATATTTTCCTCGCCTAAGATCTTGGTTCCATCCTTAACACTGTGGAACCGCGTTACGTTGAAGGACTGAGTCTCTGCCCCAAACTCTGATTTTTTAATCCCTTTTTCTTTGCAACCAATATTTTCCACCATCAGGTGGTAAAAATATGGGAATAGAAAATCCCTAATTGCCCCAAGACAGGGATTAAAGAACATCCTGTAGCGTTTGACAGGTGTTACTCTTTATTTTCTTAGTTTGCAGTTTTTCTCTAAATAAATCAGGATTACCAAATTCGTTTTGATAAATGAAAGGTATAGTAGATAAGATGATTTAGATTTATATCAGGTCGTCTTTTCACTCTACTTTATTTTGAGGATCACTGCACTTATAGTCCAAAAAATTTCGGACTTTGATTTGATATGAAAAACTTCAAAATATTAGTGAATACAATAAATATGAAGGCAAAAAAGTATATTGTTAAGGCCTTATTTTGACATTTTAAGCAATTAACTGTTGTTATATAAATGTCCACCCGATGGTGGTCTGGGTTCTCCAAACTTGGGGGGCGTTCAGATCTCTTTCCTGATATTTCTGAATAGTTGCATTTGACTCCTCCTGTAATATTATAGGTTGCCCCCGGCTGTTAAGTTACCCTGGGCCGATTGGTTTATATTTACAAAGCGTACACAACCTTATATAAATGATTCATAAAAATGGTTCCGGGTTTTCCAAACCGTTCTGGCTTTAGATTATCTTCATGTTTGGTATTTTGATAATCTTCTCGTTTGGTATTTTGATATTCTTCTTGTTTGGTATTTTGATAATCCTTCTTGTTTGGTATTTTGACAATCTTCCTGTTTTGTATTTTGATAATCATCATGTTTGGTATTTTGATAATCTTTTTGTTTGGTATTTTGATAATCTTCATGTTTGGTATTTTGACAATCTTCATGTTTGGTATATTGAAAATCTTGTTGTTTGGTATTTTGATAATCTTCTTATGTTTTGTATTTTGATAATCTTCATGTTTGGTATTTTGATAACCGTCACGTTTGGTATTTTGATAATCTTCTTGTTTGGTTTTTTGATTTTCTTCTTGTTTGGTATTTTGATCATCTTCTCGTATGGTATTTTGATTATCTTCTTTTTTGGTATTTTGATAATTTTCTTGTTTGGTATTTGATAATCTTCTTGTTTGGTATTTTGATAACCGTCATGTTTGGTATTTGTATAATCTTCATGTTTGGTATTTTGATATTCTTCATGTTTGATGTTTTTATTATCTTCTTGTTTGGTATTTTGATAATCTTCATGTTTGGTATTTTGATAATCTTCATGTTTGGTATTTTGACAATCTTCATGTTTGGTATTTTGATAATCTTCATGTTTGGTATTTTGACAATCTTCATGTTTGGTATTTTGATAATCTTCATGTTTGGTATTTTGATAATCTTCATGTTTGGAATTTTTATAATCTTCAAGTTTGGTATTTGTATAATCTTCATGTTCGATATTTTGATTTTCTTCTTGTTTGGTATTTTGATTTTCTTGTTTGGTGTTTGATAATCTTCATGTCGTCATAGTCGTCACATTTTGGACTTGAATTCTTATTTGGCAGTTTGCTTTGTTTAAAGGGACTTTGGGCGTAATTTCAAGTGCCCTTTTATTTTAAAAAAGGGACATGCATAATTCATAACCCACAATTGAAAATAATCAATTTCCAAAAAAGTTATTAAAATCTCATATCTTTTTAATCTGCCCTTGGGTATCGTTACGAAGCAATTAAAATCCGTCTTCAAATTAACTTTTTTTTAGGAGAATGTTCAGAAATTACGATTAGAATATGAGCGATGTATGGATCAGTATACAGGAGCTAAAGCAAAGCTAGAAGAACAAAAATCTAAAGGATCTAAACGTTTAGATGAATACAAGGAGAGATATTCTAAGGTGATTAATATTGATTAAACCTAATAAGTTTTCATATTTCAGAGTAATCATTTTTATCATAGATTTCGATTGATAAATTCTCTGAACTCGTCATAAACGTATTTCAAATCTTTCAATGATTTTTTGATAAAAATATAGTCAATAATATAACATCGGGGGAGTTCTAATTAAAGTTTGAAAATACGGCAACTACGGTATCGTATGAGATTAACGCGGCATTTAATCGTGAATTTTTATTTTCTGCAGGGTTATCCACAAAGCATGAGACTTCAGAGACGACTGAACAGAAGTTATTCAAATTTTTCCAAAACATTCTTGGTTCACTCAAACTTGTTGCTTTTTAAAAATCAAGTAAAAATTCAGATTATTTTATTTAAAGAGTTTAGGTCGTCCATACGGCCTCATTCTGTGTGGGTAACGCTGTAAATCAATGAACACTGTAAATATAAAGCTTTTAAAACTTTTTTAAAATGTCGTCGTCGTCGGAAGTCCTTTATTTTCTTACTCCACTATCGATGCTTCCCTGAAGTTCGGATTTTGTTTTGATTAATCTGAGAAAACCGGTAAACATGTAATGCCCGCAATCTGCTGATAAAATTTGTTATTTGCGACATATGGACCTTCAGTCCAGGACTGATTAACGTCATATTTCTAGAATTAGTAAATATCAATATCGCTGCAGATATGATTTCTAGAAATGTGGCAGCTGGAAACAAAGATTTTAAGAAATTTAAACTAAATATCATACTTTTAACGCCACTGAAACATTATGTTCATGCACCTCATGACCCCCCCCCCTCCTAAAAAAAAGTTTTAAAATATACAGAAATAACTGTGATTTAAGTTTCTAGGTATTACGTTTCTAGCAACGACTTTTGGGGCAATCATAGCTGCATCCGTACCGTTTTATTCTTCAATGGCAAAAATTCCAAATATTAAAACGCTAAAGTGAAACAGTACAGTTGGAAACTTATAATATTAAATTTTAAAGAAACATCAGATAGAAATAAAATCAGTTTGATCTTTAATAGATTATGTTTCATTATTTACTTCTTTTTACTTAATGCTAACATCTCATTAAAATATGAAATATTTAATCCTAATTAGTTTGTTTTATCTTATACTCAAATATTAAAGTAAGTAAATAACATTTATTGTACAATAGCATGAAATGTTAACATATAAGAATGGCAGGGGAAGTACAATTCGCAGGATTGTGGTTAACAACGTGAATCTCAAAATACGTAATGCATATCGTAAATTATTTATTTCGATAAGATGAAATAAATATAGTTTGTTACATTGTTGTGATGAATACAAATTTAATATTAATTTGAATAATGGGAATATAAGTTGACGCTGATGATAGTTTAATATTGATATTCTGTAGAAAAGCCTAGGGCAGTAACCAAGCCCGTAAACTGTAAACTAATAAGATAAAGACAGTTTCCTGTTTTTTGACTAATATTTAATTTAAAATGAACTCTTCATTAAAAAGTGCAATCATCGAATTATTATTGTGTCATTAAGTAAAAAGTATCTTTGTTTTCTTCAATCTGTAAATTTTAACATTCGGTCAAGGCTTTTCTAGGAAGATATAAACAAAAGATGAAAAGGAAAATGTACACGATTTTTCAATTTCCTCAGAAAATTTATAAAATCGAAATTTTAAAGTAAATTTTTGTTGGTGTTTTCGACCAAACCAAATTAAAAAAGAAATATATGTTATCCACAGAAAAATGGTTTGGATATTGATAACCTCTCAGTACTAGTATCTTATATTTTAAGTATATTTGCACCAGGCCTGTCAGTTACTTGATAACATTTAATTTAAAATCCTGATTCCATCAACCTGATCCAAAGAAGTGGGTGGGGGGGGGGGGGGGCAGGTGAGGTGTTAAAGAACTTTAAAGATCAAGTGAGGGATAACCTTGAAAACTTAAACTAAGCTGAAGATGAACTTCATTCTGTGAAATTTCTTAAAGAGGGAATATTATTTTAGGATTCTTCAATATGGGATTGGGATAAGATTACTCATCTTTTAGGGATTTTAGGTTGCCGATTTGATGGAAGTCATTTATTTGATATTTTGTAGACGAGTAGGAAGCTGCATTTGGTGCATAATGAGTATGTGCTGCTCCTGTGCGAAGCTGCTGAGTTTGAGCGGGATATGCGAACCATCCTTCTCCCAGGACTACTGGAACACCAACAAGCTGTACAGGAAGATGCTACTGACAGATGGAAGATGATTCTACAGGTTGGTTCTCAAAAACATCCCCGCTTTTCATATACAGGGTGACTCACAAAAAATGCTTACGCGGTTGGAACTGAAGTCTTCAAATTCGAAGTCTCACTAAGGAACTGAGTTCTTAGTCTCATTTTATGTCCCCAAGTCCTGATCTTGTTGTGCAAAAAACTAGTGCATTAAAAATTTTAAATTAGTCGTTTTAGATTACATAAATACAGTTTTACACAGCGGTCGAGTTGTTATCAAATGACACTAAATCATTCCCCCTTAACAAAGAGTTGTTTTGAAATACATACATTCATTCTCCTTTACATCTAGATGTTTAATTACATACATTCATTCTCCTTTACATCTAGATGGCTTGAATTACATTTACTCATTATCCTGTACATCGAGTTGTTTTGAATTACATTTACTCATTCTCCTTTCATCTAGATGGTTTGAATTTATTTTTACGCATTCTCCTTTACATCATGTTGTTTTGAATTACATTTACTCATTCTCCTTTACATTGAGTTGTTTTGAATTACATTTACGCATTCTCCTTTACATCGAGTTGTTTTGCTAATTACACTAACTGATTCCCATTGACATCGAGTAGTTCTTCTGATTACATTAACTATATTTGTCTTTACATCGAGTAGTTTTCAGATTACATATATCATGTAGAACTTTTTCCTTCAATGTTTGTCCTTTCAGGAAAGTTGATGCATTTATTTTGTTTTTCAGCCAAGCATGAACAACTTGTTAAGATTTACTTGGCAACTGCCTCACCCCCCTCACTCACGCCATAATCCTTTATGTACTTTTCATTTTTATACTGTGCACGAATTGTACAATTGTACAATTTGTGTACTCTAAATCTGAACTAAAATTGATTGTAAACTGAACAAGGAAAGAAAAACAAAATAATAATATTTTTTAAATTTTCATCTATCCGAGTTAGATATAACATGATATTTTCCTCTGAAAATCATGATTCTTTAAAAAGTAATTGTTAAAAAAATACACACAAATCTAATTCATAAGTACTTGAAATAGGTCTTATCACGATTTTCATCATTTTGGCCTAGTACCAAATTGCTGAACACGTTCTTAAGATAAGAAAGATACAGAAAGCTTTAAAAAGTTATAATTTTTCCTACGTTTACTTTAGGAAGTGTCAAGATGTACAAACCTATCCAGCGCTAAGTGTCAGGAATCCCAGGCTAAAATAGAGAAAAGTGTTAACAGCATTAAATCCTCGGAAGAATACTCAGAGTTTATCGAGAGAAACAAAACCTCTCCGCCCAAACCCATCATCTTCAAGTTTGACCCGTCACTGCTGGAGAACTCCGGGTGCAAGCTAAAACCAAACGAGATCTCGGTGGACGAGTACACCGTCGATGTGCTGAGGGCGAAGCTGAGGGAGAACGAGGCTGAGTTGAAGGAAACCAAGAACTTGATTAAGGAGAAGCAGACACTAGTTATACAGTATGATACAGAGTTTCAAACTGTTCAGTTTAAATCTGATCCACTGAGCTTCTCTAGAAAATTCACCTTGAAGAAAACCATGGATATTCTGAAGAAAGAAATCAATGAACTAAGGAAATTAAATATTACGTAGAAAAAATTATCTTAAAATAGTTTTTAAAACAAATTTTGTAGATTAATGCCTTATTTAACTAAGTGCTGGAAACTGAACCCGTATCTTTTTAAATATTTTGAAGCTAAATATGAATCTATATAATATTTGGCCTCTCCATCTGTTGGTTTGTTTTCTCATTTTTTTTTTTGTGGTAACTCGCATATTCCTATATGCAAGGCCATTAAAAAACTTAGAATCGAAATAAAAAATTGATTTAAAATTTTAATCCACTAAAAGCCGGAAAAAATTATGCATTGATTTTTTTTATGATGTATTGTATGCTAAGAAAACTGGATACAGTTAAAGATGCATATAATAGTAAAAGCTTGAATTATTACAAGAAATCGCACTCTAGAAGCCTAGTCTAGCATGCATAGAAAACTGAACTTAAATAATAACGAATCGGAATAAGGAAATAGTACAAATTTCTTGATCCATGAACTCAAAAATAAATTCTTATGAATATTTGATGTGTGGTCCAGGTGTATAGAGCAGAAGGTGGGTAGGCAAAATGAACTTATCTCCGGGTCTTTAACCGACCTTGGCTGTGAACAACCTGCCTGTGATATATCTGGTAGTTCCAACAACCTAGAGAGCCTTTCCCCGACCTCCACCGAGGACACCCAGAGCCAGTCCTCCATTGGGAAGAAGAAGTCTGCTCACGTGATCAATATTCTTCGGAAACCTTTCGCGCGGAAAACTGAAAGTCCTAACAGGTATACAATCGCATTCTTTAACCAGAAAAATTATGGATGCCCTGCGCCCTTTTGTATAGTTAAGTTTTTTCGAAAAAATTTACTTAATACTTAATTCTTTACTTTAATTTGTGGATTTACAAACCCTTTCGGGGGGGTATATCAGATCTGATAAACTTGCCAAATTGAATGTTTTAAGATGTTGAGATTGCTGGAAATGCAAGAGAGAAAATTAATTACTTTTTATTACGTTGTTTTGTAATCAAGTATATTTATTTAAAATCTTGAATAACTAGTAAACAATTCCTGATCTATTAGTTGGAAATCTAGTTTCAGACATTTATTTAATGGAAAGTTTTAATAAAATTTTATAATTACAGAGCAACAACCAGCCTTCCCATAGAACTAGAGGAACCGGAAGATGTTAGTCCTGTTCCGCCCGTCCTAGCAGCGGATACGGTATCGGAGAGGTCCTTGGAGGAGGAACTCTGGTTCCATGGTGTTCTTCCCCGGGAGGAAGTGGTTCGTCTGCTCCAGAACGACGGAGATTTCCTGGTGAGAGAAACAGTTCGTAATGATGAGAAGCAAACCGTTCTCTCCGTGATGTGGGTTTCTCCTAAACATTTTATAGTTCAATTATCTCCGGAGGGATTGTTCCGGTTTGAGGGTCCAGCATTCAATACAATACAGGAGCTAATCCTTCATCAATATCAGTCAGGCAGTCCTGTCACTTCACGATCAGGGGCCATTTTGAAAACTCCGGTTTTAAGGTAACCAATTAATTACTAAACTTATGAAATAATTATTTTTAAAACTATGGACAAAAAATAATTTCATAGTTATGAAACTGATTACTGAAGACCTTTTAATTCAGAATTTTACCATAACAAAAAAAGATAAGTGATGGGATAGTATCTGAATAAGTAACAGAAAGAAGACTCACATTAACATTTTATAAATGTTCAGGGAGAAATGGGAATTAAACAATGATGACGTAGAACTTGTGGAGAAAATAGGACGAGGAAATTTCGGAGATGTTTACAAAGCAATCCTTCGTCCAGGCAATATTTCAGTCGCTGTGAAAACTTGTAAAATAACCCTCCCGGACGAACAAAAGAAGAAGTTCCTACAGGAGGGACGAATATTGAAACAGTATGAACATCCGAATATTGTTAGATTTATCGGTATTTGCGTGCAGAAGCAACCAATAATGATCGTGATGGAGCTGGTCCCTGGCGGATCTTTACTCAACTACCTCAGGACTAATGCGGACAAACTTTCAACTAAAGGATTACTAGGTAAAGGTCGTTACTCNATACTAAAATTTTCAACATTTAAAATTAAATATTAGCAAAAAAACGATTTAAAACCCGATTATCATTGTATTTCATTCGAAGATCACATTTTAAAAAAATTGAATAGAAAAGCGTAAGAAACTTAACCTCGCTTCCTCCTATCTAATAACAACTCTAAAATTGATAAAAAGTAAAATAGACCAACTGCTATTCTTTGGGAAAGAAATATTACGATTAAAAGTCTTAAGTAGGTCCGAGAAGGTACTGAATAAACTTTAAAAATGCCATGTGTAGCATTTGATCTTTTTAGATTCTAAATGAAGCGCACACATTAATTTCTAATTTTTCCTCCATTGCCTTTTAATGCTTTTTGATCTTTATCTAAAATTATTAAAAAAAAACAATCAATTTCCCTTTTTTACCACTAAAAAGGCGTTACCCTTTTAACCTATTCTATTCTAGTTATGGGATGAAACACTATAAACCAACATTTAGTATAATATAATTCACACGGAAATGAGAAGAGTTAGAATTTTATGAATGCGTAAGCGAAAGTTAAGCTTAAACTACTTGGTTAGCTGATTCTCTTTGGAAAATTATGCTAGATAGTTAAGCAATCCCATGGGCTTAAACTTGTCCTTCTGGTTGGTATTTTATGCGCTGGAGTTCAAAATCGCCGAATTTAAAATATCCTCATCACTTGTGAGCTTGACCAAGTTAATGAACTCGGTTGAACTGCATTCATAAGTTTCCAGCTCATTATTAACATTTCTCAATGATTGAATTATTTATTAAAAATGTGCCAGGATGCTGCCAGTAGAATGTATTATTTTTTAAATTATCTAGGATTGTGCCAGGATGCTTGCCAGTGGAATGTATATTTATTATATTATCTGGGAATGTGCCAGGATGCTGCCAGTGGAATGTATTATTTATCAAATTATCTAGGATTGTGCCAGGATGCTGCCAGTTGAATGAATTATTTTTTAAATTATCTAGGATTGTGCCAGGATGCTTGCCAGTGGAATGTATATTTATTATATTATCTGGGAATGTGCCAGGATGCTGCCAGTTGAATAAATTATTTATTAAATTATCTAGGAATGTGCCAGGATGCTGCCAGTGGAATGAATTATTTTTTAAATTATCTAGGAATGTGCCAGGATGCTGCCAGTTGAATGTATTAATTATTAAATTATCTAGGAATGTGCCAGGATGCTGCCAGTGGAATGGAATTTATATTAAATTATCTATGAATGTGCCAGGATGCTGCCAGGGGAATGTATTATTTATTATATTATCTAGGAATGTGCCAAGATGCTGCCAGTGGAATGGAATATATATTAAATTATCTAGGAATGTGCCAGGATGCTGACAGTTGAATGTTTTAATTATTAGATTATCTAGGAATGTGCCAGGATGCTGCCAGTGGAATGGAATATATATTAAATTATCTAGGAATGTGCCAGGATGCTGACAGTGGAATGTATATTTATTAAATTATCTAGGAATGTGCCAGGATGCTGCCAGTGGAATGGAATATATATTAAATTATCTAGGAATGTGCCAGGATGCTGCCAGTGGAATATATATTTATTAAATTATCTAGGAATGTGCCAGGATGCTGCCAGTGGAATGTATATTTATTAAATTATCTAGGAATGTGCCAGGATGCTGCCAGTGGAATGGAATATTTAGAATCTAAAAACTGTATCCACAGAGATCTTGCTGCAAGGTAGAGATTAACATTTTTTACCTTTTCTTAAAAAATAATGCATGATGCGATAATGATAAAAGTTATTTTTTAGATTCACGTAGACATAATTTCACCAATAATTTCAAACCACAATATGTCTCCTGAATTTAGTTATTTTAGATGAACATAATATTTTTGCATCTTTTGAAACGGAAAAACGGAAAATACACTAAAAAATGTATTTTTCACCCTGATACAAACTTTTCCCTACCTTATATGTTTTCCCTCCTCCCGACTAAATTAAATATTTTCAATTGAGGAAAATCTTTGTATTTATACATTTAACGGTCTAATTGGTTTCTCAAAAGCAACTTTTCATAATTTTATCAATCCCCTGTCTGGCCTCCAGCACGCTTTGCCTAAAGATTAATCCTTAATTCCCCTTCTTTAATAAACAAAATGAGCTCAGAGAGAGAGTGAACACAACTCTTTTTACATCACGTTAAAAAAGCACAAGATTTTGCAAATTTTCAAATATTAATTTTACAAAATTTACAAATATTTAAAAAACCTGTTGAAGTAAGATAATTAACCGCGAAAAGAATTTTTGAAAAAGCAGTAAAATAGTAAATTATACTCTCAAACTCAAAGGGCTTACGAATTGTTTTGTTTAATATAAGTATGTTTAGAAATTGTTTGATTGAGTAAACTTGTGTTTAATAATTGTTTGAAAGAGTAAACTTGTAATTAGGAATTGTTTGATAGAGTAAACTTGTAATTAGGAATTGTTTAAAAGAGTAAACTTGAAATTAGGAATTGTTTGGTTGATCAAACTTATGTTTAGGAATTGTTTGGTTGATCAAACTTGTGTTTAGGAATTGTTTGGTTAATCTAACTTATATTTAGGAATTATTTGGTTTATCAAACTTATGTTTAGGAATTGTTTGGTTGATCAAACCTATGTTTAGGAATTATTTGGTTGATCAAACTTATGTTTAGGAATTATTTGGTTAATCAAACTTATGTTTAGGAATTATTTGGTTAATCAAACTTATGTTTAGGAATTGTTTGGTTGA